TCACATGTTCGTTTTTAATATATGTGTTTCTAATAAATGTTTCTAATCAGACTAGCTGGTCTATTGGAATTTTTTTCTTTTTGAAGCCAGTCTGAAATAATATTATTGACTTTGAGGAACCAAGTGAGTCTGTTGTTAATCATTTTTTCAAGAATTTTATGTAGACAGTGAGTGCAACTGGGCAGTAATCTAAAGGATTTTTCAAATTTTTACCAGTTTTCAGGAATAGGATAATGGTGGCTTGTTTCCAAAGACTGGGAATATTTTCTAATACAATTGGGAATGGTCACTCAGGTGTGCTCATAGTCTTTCCAACTGTACTCAAGATATGTTATGTGATCACTTACAGTTAGGTTGATTGCAAATTATGTGCAATTTACTGGGTGAAGGCAAGTGTGTGTGTTATTATTGAGTAAACATAAATTGTTCCTGTTTATGAAGGCTTCCACATGTTTCATTTTCTGATTGATTGCAACACCAGATAATGTTATGACTATTAAAATCCCCCAATAAGATATATAATTTTAGGAGTTGTCTAAGTAGATTATTATTTTCATCTATGGAATCATTGGGTAGATCTTCCTGTAGAGGTGGGTGTAGGGGAGCTTTTGGTTAAGTGAGATGGTTGACTTTTGAGTTTATTTTTACTTGTGTTTCTGTTTGGAGGGTCCTGGTGTTCTCTGGTTGGTGGCTTCAGATTCATAATTGGGGGTACATTTTCATTATTTTTTCACTTTTTTATTTGATGTTGGGCTTGTGAGTACTTTTTTAATGGCTAATCTTCTAGGTTTGCACTTATTTTTTTTTATAAGTTTAGGCCAGTTGTCTGGTTCTAGCAACAGCATTTCCTGACGTAGGGCCTTATACTTATTTTCCCCTTGAGATTTATTCACTTTGGGTTTTACTTTTAGGATTCGGCTGTATGTTGTTTGGGTTTGTATTATCCTGCATGCTTCAATGAAGGAGATATTCCTTGCACATTTAATTGAAAGGATTTCTTTTTCTCTTCTCCATTTCTCAAACTTCTTTCAATATTTAGGGTGATCTTATCTACAACTATTTCCATGCTATTTCCAATTTTAAGCTTTTCAGGGATTTAGAGAACATTAAATGTGATAATATAGATTTTGCTTAGGATAGTTTGGCCATCCCTTTTGATTGACACTCTTTTCACCTACTTTACTCCTTCATTCTTGAGCTCACTCTCAATTTCATCTATTGTTACTTATTACTACTCCTTAAGATAGATTCACAGTTTGATGTGGATTTGTTTTTATTCTGTGTGTGAGAGATATTTTCATTTTTAATAGAAATTCAATGCACTTTTTTGTTCAACCTCAATTGTTCCAATTTTTAATTTAACTGTTTTGTAACAAATCAACAAGAGTCTGACTATCATTGACAGATTTTTTTTCAAAATGGTAAACTTATAGAGCTTCATGATAGTTGCTGAAAGGTACTTATTTTTCATCTCTAGGTCAAAGAGTTCCCAAGATATGAACCTTTTGCTTTTGCCAAAAAAGTGAATTTCGGAAAATTATCACAAAATTTAAATATCAATATCTCAGCTGTTTTTACACCTACAAAGCTACATTATATACCATTTTAAAATACTTGGATAGATCTAAAAGGCGATCTATTTATTTTTTTTTTGTTTAATGGTCAGATAAGATGAAATTTGACTTTTAATTTCTCAAAAAAAAAAAAAAAATGTATCTAATTTTTCTTAAAAATTTGACAACAAATTTGTCTGCTTTATGACAAGATATGTACAAAATTTTGTGGTGGACTTTTGACTGTAGCTTGAGTTACAAGGATTTTACTGAGTTCGGCCAAATTCAAAATGGTGGAGTTTGGTATTTGCCTGGTACTCAGATGAGATGTGTCCAACCTTGTTGCAATGAAAGCAATGCACTTCATGGCATGAGCTGCATACCCAGTTATCTGTCCCCTTCAGGCATCCTTGTTTACAGTCCTTAGCAAAGTGGTTGGGGCCAGAGTACTTGAAACAAATTATGCCATCCTTACACATACCAGAAGAATGCGTCTCAGTGTATGTTCATTGAATGGATGTGGTGATTGACTCTTCAGGTTTTTGGCTAACGGTCATAATGACCCTTGCCTGGGTTAGAAGTTGCTCCGAGATCATAGTCTCTATTCTGGATGATGCTCTAAGAAGCTGTCTAATGTCTTGTAGGAGCCCAGACACAAATGCACATAGCATCCATCACTCAGGCAACTGTCCACCAAAAATTTATTGATAGTTTCCCCAGTACAAAGTCACCTCATCATGAACTGGTCAAACATATTAAAGGAGTCCATTGTGTATGTGGTTACAAGGGCTTGCTTTATCTGTTCTGTATCTCCTTACTTAGTTGCCGGTATATAGTGAGAGTGCCACCTCTCAATTGTAATGGCAAGACACATTCGGTCCTCTCCATGTCACACAGTTCACATACCAACTCGACATTCGCAATCCACACCATGATTGGTAAATTGGTGGAAATGTCCCTAAATTCAGGGACCAATCTGATAGCAAACACTTTCTCCACTATCTCATGGAAAAATTTGGAGTTGCCAAAACAGTTTGTAGCTTTAAGTTTTTCATCGCAATCAATGCCTGCAATCAGTTTCTTCTTACTCACTGTCTGTGACATGTGTAGCCAGTTTAATACAGCAGTCAACCGTCTTTTCTTTCCATTGCTTCGTTCTTCCAGTTTTTATGTATCATTGACAGCCAAAATTTGTATATGCACAAAGATAATCTCACATGAGAGTATCTTACTCTGGGATCTAGTTATTTTAAATGTGTAATGTGTGAAGCTGCCAGTTTTGGACAGTTTACATGCAAGGCACATTTGAATCTTTGCTCGCATGGAGGCAAGTTATTTTATTCTTTATTTTATTCTATTGTTACAAAAAATACATGCAACTCTGGGCCTCTTTGCTTTCCGGCAGTTTGGTACAAATAGGTACCATTCAATTTCTCTCATGAAGCTCTATAAGTGTACCAAATTTGAAAAAAAAAAATTTGTGTTGGTGATTTTCAGACCCCTGTTGATTTGACACAGAATGATTTGCTGAAATAATCTTTTCAGTTGCAAAAGGTGATAAGTTTGTAATTGTAATGTTCTTCAGGAATTTCAAAATTATAAATTTTGGGAATACTGGGGCCTCTATGTCATCTTCATTTTCAGAACTTGACTCCTTGTGAAGTCACTTTTTGTGGGTTATTTTTGAACTTGACTTTTTTTTGCATTTCAATATCCATAAAAAATATATTAGTTCATTGGCTGTGCTTCCCACACAACATGGTGCCCTACAAGGGGGAAACATTTGCTTTGGTAAATCAGGGCTACACAGCTACTATACTCATACTGGAGAAAGTAACCAGCTACTTTGTATCCCTAGGTTTTCATTCCCAAGATAATTTGTCATCCAAGGATAGTTAGAAATCATCACTCTCAGACCAAATATAAAATCAGCCATTTTTCAGACTTCAAGTTCCAAGAATTCAAAAAATTCTAATGCTTGAAAAATGGCTTGCTGCAAGATTTTATTGAGCTGAAAGAAAGTGACTGAAAGTTTCAACTGATTAGAGGATTTTTAGCTGTAAAAAAAAAAAAAAAAAAAGTTTCAAATACATTTCGAAAAAAGTCATACTTCTGTGAGAGAAAAGACTAGATTTTACTTGTTTCAATACTTTTACAATTTTCAAACCATACCATAAACATTGTCAGTTTTATAATTTTAAAAATATAATTCAGACTGTAATCAGGAAATAAAATCTATAATTATTTTTGCTTAGTTAATCCCATCTAAGATTTAATTAAAAGGAATGGTTTTATTTTCCATGACATTCCAAAGAAAACAAAATCTTTTCTCGCTTGATTTAATAATATGTAAAAACCAATTTGCAAAAAATTAAATTTTGACATATGAAATGAGGTACTGTCACAAACTTTTTAGCAGATTTTTTTTTCTTTTACAATGGTAGAATGCAAAATCAATGAAGAATTTTTTCTTTATGTACATTTTAAGAACTATAAGTTTTTGTATTTCTTAAAATGAGATTATTTTTCTTAAGTTTACTACTTATTCATAGAATATATATATAGAGAAAAGATAATGAAAAACTAACTGAAGATGATACTGTATATTGCATTTATGTTCACCTTCAAATTTGACTACCAGGGTATATTCAGCTCTGTAGTGTGTCAGACACAATAAGATAGACTTTTTTAAGGCCAGCTACTAAAAAGAAAAAGACATGATAATAACTGATTACACTAACAAGCATCTCTTACTCTTTGCTGATTATATCTATAATAACTGGCAACTTGACTTCATGAATTTAAGCCTAGTACTAGATTGGTAGTTAGGTCTCATTTTACTCTTGAAATTGCTAGATGTAGCCACAAATTTTATTCTAATATTTAATTCTCTTGCACTTTTTACTTGTGGAACTCTGTTCTGACTTCTTGCTTTCATGTCAACAACAATCTTCAAAACTTTAAATGCAATGTCAATTGCCAGCTGTCTTTTTGTATACTGTTCTTTTATTGTCTGTTCTACTTAATAACATTTTCTAAGTTTCTTTTACTCGCAGTAGCCTCCTGTGTCTTACTGACTTTGTCTTGCTTATGATTAAAAAAATAAAATAAATATCAAAAACTAAAATTACTTGTACTTCCTTCCTTACACACAGCATACTTTTGAAAATACTGACACCAAATTACAGGTTCTGATTCCCCAGCCAGCTTGCATAACAGGTTATATGAAATGCAACCTAGCATTCAAATCTATCATTGTTATGTCTTATCAACAAGTAAGACATTTTTAATACAAAAAAATCTCTTAATGAGTAAGAAATCTATTCATTTTAAGACAATTATAAACAAAGTCCTTTAAAAACTGCAAAGTAAAAGAAATATGAAATGTATCTATAACTGCAACAGGTGGAATAAGTAAAGTTTTATAAATAAAATCAGTGTTTTTACCTGGAAGGGGCTGCCCAACTGAATGCAGACATTTGACGAAGGAATTGGTTCCCAGAGCATCTAATGCACATTGTCCCATTCGAGTCATGATCCGCATACTGGCTACTACATAAGCAGAATCGGTAAGCTGGATACCTATTTTAGACAAAGGGCCACCAACAGCACCCATACTGAAAGGAATGACATACATGGTGCGACCTAGAAAAAAAAATGGGCACAGTGAAATTTGTATTATTAAAAAGATAAAGTGAAAAATTATAAAAAAAAATAAAGCAAGTATATTGTAAATCTTTTGTTGTATGAGAGTAGGAATAAAGCATAATGTCAGTGACATTCATATGAATTCTGACAACTAACAAAATGTTTCTTCCTGTGGTGAATGCGCATCAGTATAGATGCAAAAGAGGCCTTGGATCAAAAGCTGACAAATTTGTCAACATCAGCCAGTTACCTCCAGGTTTTTCCTGTTTGCCAAGGGATAGTTAGGCATGTCAAGATACGGTTCTCTCTGCAAATGGTCAAGATTGGGGTTTTTGTAAGATGTCTCATGCCAATAAAAGCTGGGGGAAAACTGCAGTCGGCAAGATATGGCATCGTGTGAAGTCGGTCCCGTGAACATTTTTTTCCCCTCAAGTTGCTGTGGTTTCCAAGGTAGTGTTATTTTTGTTACCTCCTGTCTCTTTCTTCTCTTTACCTGTTACCCCCATAGTTGCTGGGAGAGCAAGCTATTTTGGCACTCATGGCTGACAACAAGTTCTACCTGAACGTAATCCTTAGATATGGTGGTTTAGACTGGGGTCTCACTATCATTGAATGGTTTTAAAAGCCTGAACTTTTCTGTGATCTGTGTGGTGTGAAGAACATTGCTAGTATTCAGCTACTTCAATTGATGGAAGGTGTATTTGCTGTGTTCTAGCAACTTAGCAAGGAAGAAAAAATATGTAGGCCATATCAGGGATGCCCTGTACGTTGCTTTTGCCTATAGATGGGATGTAAATTTATGATTCCAATACGTACATGTCCTGGCAAGAAATGGAATAAGTGAGTGGTGTCACAGAAATTTCAAGAGGATAGCAGTCATACTGGTATAATGTAACCCCAAAGATGACACCTCACAAATGACTGCTTCCACAAATTAAGTCTACAGATACAAGGCCAGCTTATACAGTACCTCCAATGATGTCTGAGGTGAGCTGCAACATGTACAAGGTGGGAGACTGTGTAGGTAAAGGCCCCACACAACCAGTGTACTTCAAAAAGGGACAAATTACTGGACTTTTTAGTCCACAATAAGTCTTAGTGGACAGAATACCCTATCATGTCAGGGATCTTCGTCCTTCCCTGAGTTCATGATCTTCAACAAGCAGTGAAGATAATATGTCTGAAAGTGAGGATGAAATCCTTGTGAGCTTGGATAGGCCAGATGATCCCATGAAAGAAGAATCACATAAGGATGAGATGGAGGAACACAAATCAATCCCACTTCGGGAAGCACTCAACAAAAGAGACCTGCCCTAAGCTGTCATATCTGAGGAGTTGGGGGTGGTGAATGTGCATATCAGTATGGATGCAAAAGAGGCTTTGGATCACAGGTTGACATGTGTGTCAACACCAGTTACATCCAGGTTTTTTCCTGATAGGAGCAAAACAGTTTGGCATATCTAGATATGGGCCTCTCTGCAAAGGACTTTAAGAGGTTAAGAGAGTAGTGTCCAGTTAATCATTACCTATCCTTCATATCACCATAATCTTCATTTCCTACTCTTACATTCATATGAAACACTTAATTCTGTAACACTATCTTAAGTGGCTCTTGATCCTTGTATTAGGTTAATTAGTTAAGAAAAATAGCATGACATATAATAGCTCTCCTAGTTATACTTGCATCTAAGAAGGTAATGCCAGTCTATATGGTTAAATATAAGTGAAATGACATAAAAACAAACACAAAAGAGAACAATCTGTGTTATTAGAGAAGCTAATCTTGTGATTGAGGGAATTTCAAATACCTTACCATCATTTGAAAGATAATTCCCAGTATATTAACAAACATACCTCTCATGCAACCAGGAAACCTCATATTCAGTTCTGTGTCCATATCTTCTGTGTCCATCCAATGACCAAGCTGACCTTTCACCCCTGTTTTAGGAATGGGAATCGTGTCCCTTTGATCTTCAGTGGCAATCACTGTTCGTCTTTCTACTCGGGCTACATCAGCTGGATCTGTCCGTGCCAACCAACTAAAAAATTAAAATATAAAAAAATTAGCTTGTAATAATTGATGATGATTCATTATAAAATGTATAATCTTTATAATAATCAGATTGTAATATGTATGCCATAAAAAAAAATCAGTTATAATACAATTATGACTTTACATCAGGTACTACCCAAAAGTTTAAGGAATATTATCATAAAAATTAATTTACCCTAACTCTTGCAAAGTTTCTCTTTTGAAGATGTTTCTCTGAATTTATAAGTAGTGCCCTACCCTTCTCATATTTCACCAATTGCTAGAAATCCTAAAAAATTACACATTTTCTGATGGAATTTTATCTTGGAAAACAGGATAATGTAACAGGGGATAAAATCAAATGGGTAGTGGGTAATGGCTGCTAGGAACTAAGAAAGAGTGATGTATGCATATTGTAAAAAGACAAATCATTGGTATAAATGCTGTAACAAAAGAAAGAACAAAGATTAACACTTAACCTTTTTTCACAAACTCTAAAAATTGCTGTTTAAAGTTTGGCCAAAAGAGATGAATTGCTTGGGGTATTCAATATAAAAAACATCAGTATTAATGAGAGATTAACATGAGCTTTTGGGAGCTATAGTGACTTTTATGAGTATTGTGTAGTTGATTTGAAACTATCAAATATGGCTCAGCATAAATTCACATTGAATAAACAATTATTTAAGAGCCAATAAAAAAGCTTCTCTTGAATTAAATATGGATTATATTTAATTCAAGAGAACAACATCCAGATAAATTTCTACACTTTGAAGTTTTTTTAGATTTATTGATGAATCTTCATTGAATTTAAATTTTGATAAGACTATAGTTTAGTTGGTGAAAGAATATGGAGTCAGATAAATAATTGTCAATTCCACCCCAACTATTTTGTTTCAAGTTCATGAACTTTCATGCATCCCAATGTAAAATTGTTCTTTGTCATTGCTCAGTAGTCAAAACATTTTGATCAGGAGACATATTGTTGTAGTTTGTATCAAGGTGCAAATTCTGCAACAGTGAATCCTTTTCAAAGTGTTTATCAAAATGTACTGAATATTTCCATCTACAACAATGCTATGACGTCACAAACATCATTATAGTTTGTCCTTGTTCATTTGTCCTTGAAGTATTTGCAACACAAGAATGTTTAGTTTTTATAGTATTATTTCAAAATCTTTCTTTAAGCAGACAAGGTTTTGTACATGTTTTTTCTTTTTTTGAGGTTAAAGCAAAATTTTAAAGCTAGTGTTCAGGTGGTTAGTTTAGATATGTATTTTTTCCAGGATTCACATTTATTGCTCTTAATGATACAGCATGTCTTTACATGAGCTTCCTTGTAGATTGTTTGTTGTTTTCTAAACTTTTATAATGCTTTTTTTCAATATTTAGTGACTTTTTTACATTCTATATTAAACCAGAGTTTATGCCTTTCATGTGGATTAGTGGAGAATTTAGGGATTGTTTTCCATCACAATATTGTGTATTAATTTCTTCCTGTGAATTTTTTTTCTTGGTTTAGTACTGCAACATCAACTACTTGATTTATGAAAGAGGTCAGTGGGTCATTTACATTTTTGACTGTTTGGTTATTGGTTAATAAAAGTTAAATGTCAGTAAATGTTGCCTGGTCAGTTCTATGAAGTTGCCACTTCAGAACTCTCTCTTCTGGTATTGGTTTGTTGATATTTGTTGTGGAGTGAAGAGTACATCCCTGGTGACTCTATGAACTCATCCAATACTATAAAGAGTACAATGGTATGAGGTCAAGAGTAGTCATTGTATTGGAGTCAGTTTTCATATTACAGGTGTTACAGCAATAGCCTAAGCATTATGTATAGAGAATACTTACATGAATTATCTTATACCAAATACAAATTTGTGTTATAACAATAACCTTACAATAGGAAGTTAAAATAGTTGGTGATGAGGATCTTTAAATCAAGCGCAACACTATAACTGAAGTTATAATAGTTGATGATGCAAGCACACGCGCAGGTTAAAATCGCAACATTATAACTGGAGTTGATGACATGGAACTTGAACACAAGTGCAGTATAACAAGCACCACATTATAACTGGAGTTATAATAGTGGGTGACCAGACTTTTTAAAACTCATATGTGTGCAGCAGGAGTTACAAGAATTTTTTTTTTCTTACAGATATGAAAAAAATTTTGAAATTCAACAACAATAACAGCAGCAACAACAAAATATCCAACAGTTGCTACATTTGAAAAACAACAAGAGTTGTTGGAAGTGGTTTTGAAGAAAAATGCTTCAATGTTTCTTACGCTAGATGTGGAGGAGAATACTGTATCAGAATTTGTATACAATTCTGATGATAGACTGACTTTTGCTGCATATTTTTGCAGACATGAAGAAATATTTAGTCAGGAATGCAGTGGCTGGGAAAAAGATAAAAAAACAGGTTAAGAAAACTAGCTCAAATATATTACGAAAAGTACTGCAATTATATTTTACCAAGAAAACCAGGTGAAATAGGGTTTGAAGACACAGTACACATTCTGAAAATTTTTTAGTTACAAGTGCTCTTTGTTCTATGCTCGTTGGAGATGCATCAATTTAACCAAAAAAGAGCATGAAGATTTTGTCATATATGCAGGTACCATCAACAGAGAATTTGGACAATTTAAACTAAAGGAAATGACTCCGGATAGGTTCAAGGGATTAAATTTTGTGCAATGTCTAACAGTGGAAAAAGATGCTGAAGTACGAATGAAAATTTTAGCAATGATTGAACATAATAATAACATAACACTAGAGGAAATAATGGACGATTGCCAAACAGAATAAAGAATGTGCATTGGTAAGGAAAAATGCATGAAAAGAAATATAAAACCTTGTTTCAGATGTGGAAAATTACATCTTAGAAAAGACTGTCCATGGAAAAGGCAGAGTGCTATAACTGTGGTCAAAAAGGACATATCAAATCACATGGCAGTACTAAACTAAGAAAAAATTTTGTCAGGAAGAAATTAATACACAATATTGTGATGGAAAAACTAGGGACATGAAACAAAAGAAAATTTGTTCAATAATGTGGGAGTTAATATGTTACTAGATACTGTGAGATTTCAATAGTAAATGAAACCACATGGAAATAAATTGGAAAACCTTTATTAAAAAGGACTTACAAAGTTGCAATTTCAGTTTCTGGTGAGAAATTATTTTGGGGGGAGAATTTACATGATGTTTATTTTCAAAATAAGCAGGTGAAAACAAAAGCTTATATTCTAAGAAATGTGATGAATCTATCCAGTACGAACTGGATGAAACTATTCAAAATATGGGGTTTTCTGATAAATGCTTATTGTAAAAATGTAAGTGGACAAGCAACAAATTTAAAAAGTTACAGTAAAAAAACTGAAGGAAAACTTAAAAAATGTTTTCCTGATATTCTGTCTAATGAATTCAGTGTTCAAAATTTAAAGTGAATTTTCAAGTAAAAATGGTTTGACACCAGTATTTAAACCAAAATGGAGTGTATCATTCCCAGTATTAGAACAAGTAAATGAAGAGTTGGACAGACTAGAAATAATTGGTGTTTTACAGAAAATAAACCATTTGAAATGGGCTGCACCAATGGTGTATATAAAGAAAAAAAAAGTTTTGCACAGATTTTTTTGATTGGATTAAATAGATGTCTTGAAAAACAGAACTACTCATTACCAAGCCTAGAAGAAACTTTTTCAAAGTTGAACAGCAGAAAAAAAGTTCAACATAAAAGACACCAAAATCAGCTGAAGAAAAAATTCACTGAAGAACTGGTTAAAATACTGTAAAATATTTTTGATGTATCAGCACCAAAACAAATTGGGAAACCTATAAAGACAACTTTAAGGAAAAGAAAATGCTACAAAGTACATTGGTGTACTCTCCAGAAAGAGGAGGGGAATGCTAAATAAAAAATATTATTTAATAAAATAGTAATCTCAAAAAGGGGTGTTGCAGATTAAAGAGTACACCTCCGGTGAATCTATGAACTTATCCAATATTATAAAGACTTCCATGGTTTGATGTTGAGAGTAGTCATATTGGAGTCAGTCTTCATACTAACTATATGGGTGTTATGGCAATAGTCTAAGCATTACATATAGAGAATACTTACACAAATTATGTTATGCCAAGTATGAGTGTGCGTTATAACTATAACCTTACAATAGGAAGTTATAACAATATCAAAATGGATTAATGATCACTCCCACATTGATCATTGTGGACTCTGCACTGGAAATCCATGATAGTGGATGGAGAACAAATTGATAAATCTATAGTCAATACTGAACCTGTGGAAAGATGAAAGTATGTGTATGATTTATCATTATAGTGTGGCCCATGTGATTAGAACCCTTAAAATTCAGAGAATACTGTGAGCACTGAAATCACCTAATAAAAGGAAGAGTAGCTTTTATTTCAGCTTATATTTTGGGGTTATACAACTGTGCATGTAGAGTAATTGGCTAAGTGAGATGGTTAAGTTGGATTAGTAAAATTCTCTGCAAACAAAATTGACAAATTTCTGGCATGAGGAGTTGTCCTTATTTACACTATTTATATTTGGACTGTTGCCCTCATCTTTGTTGTTTTTATCACCATGTTTCAGCCATTGTGCCCTCGAGCCTCCCTAAGGTGTACTGACCTGGTAACCTACAGGGAAGTCTGAATTGAACACTTTATTTAATCTACAGCGGGTAGATTGTTCTTATTACAATACCCATATTTAGGGATATTATCTAGTTCTTATTTATAGCTATTCTCAGTTATTGCTCACCTGTTTTCATAGAGTCCAAGTATATATTGCCCAACCCAGGGACTGAACTTACAATCACCAGATTCATGAACCAATACTTTAATCCATTGTGAATTGGTCCATTTTTATTGGTTAAGAAGAAATCTCAGCATGTATTTGTGAAATTTGTTTATAAATTTTGGTGTGTGATGTTCTTAGCAGTCATCCTTAGGATTGGAACCAATATTGTTATTG